AAAAAAAAAATACATAAATACACACATACATATAAAATATTCATTCACTGCACATTAATATACTCTTAAGAGAATAAGGAGATCACTCATTCAAACAGCATCATAAGGCCAAGTGTATGTCTTTATCTTTTATATATTCATTCAAACAGCATCATAAGGCCAAGTGTATGCCTTTATCTTTTATATTTTTTAATTCTCGTCTGAAAGTAGAATAGGGTATGCCGAAGTAGTTCAAATCTACTTTAATTGCATTCCTTACCACTGTTGATAAAGGGCTGTGGAATCTATAGTTACGGTAATGGTGTTTATTATGAAAGGTGTCATTTGACCTATTATACCAGAGGTATTAATTTTAAAATCAATGTGAAACAAGAGATCTGGTGAATAAACTTCACCAGCTAGCAACTTGAACAAAAAGCATAAGTCAATTTCTATTCTTCTGTTCACCAGAAAAGTTATGTTCAAAGATGAACATATGGCTGTATAATCATAGTCATAATTGTCTACATGGATTCCTAATTTGTATGCAGAAGATCTTAAAACTTTGTGTTGAACCGTTTCCTGCATATTAATATAAGTTTGATAGTGAGGGTTCCATACCACCGACGCATATTCCAAGATTGAACAGTAGAGAACTTTAAAGGCATTGAATGAAAGGTCTCTGGATACTCTCTTGATGTAACCTAGCATCTTGCGTGCTTTCAGGGAGATCATTATAATGTGTTGAGAAAACGATAGTTTATCATCCAATAAAACCCCCAAGTCTTTCATTTGAGATACCCGTTCTAGGTCTAATGGATTGATAGAGTATGAAAAGTTTATGGAAGTATGATTTCTATTGTGATTTATAAAGAAGCATTTATTGAGGTTCAGATCCATTCCGTTGGAATTGCACCAATGTACAAGGTTATTGATATCACTCTGAAGTTGATGACAATTAATTTCATTTTCAATAACTTTAAATATTTTTAAATCATCAGCAAATAGTAGAATTTGAGAATACTCAAGACTTAGGGCAATGTCATTGACAAATAGGTTGAAAAGTAGGGGGCCACAGTGACTTCCCTGGGGAAGCCCAGAATGAACTTCAATACTATCTGAAGTGTAATCGCCAATTTTAACCCATTGATACCTACCCGTTAAGAAGCTATGGAGCCAGTTCAGTAGATTGCCAGTGATGTCATATGCCTTCAGTTTAGTAATGAATAGTTCATTTACTCTATCAAATGCCTTCGAGAAGTCAGTGTATATAGAGTGAACTGGACACCCCCTCTCGAAAGCATTTGATATTGTATTTTGAAAAGTTAGTAAGCTGGTGACTGTGAATCTCCCCTTGCTAAATCGATGCTGCTGATCAATAACTGACATTTTTCACTCCCATAATAGATAGTCTGTGACAAAAGAGTCCAGCATTTTAGGCAAGCAAGACTGTAAACAAATACCCCTATAATTTGAGATATCCTCAATACAAACTTTGTTGAAGATTGGTCTTATAAAGCTATATTTCCAAAAATCTGGAAAAATACCTTGATCTAGGGACATATTAAAAATTGAATGTATTGGAATACTCACAGAGTATATTCACCTTTTTAAAAAGTATGAAGGGATTCTATCAGGACCACAGCAAACAATCTTTCAGGTTTGAAATTTTATCAAACACTTCACTCAATGATACTTTACACTTATTGACATTAACATTACAATGATACTTTACATCCGAAAAATGAGTATCTGATTTAACGTATACAGATGATAAATGTTCAGCAAATAAATTAGCCATGTCAGAACCACTCTTACTTATTTTATTATGCAAGTACATTTCATTTGGGAAATTGTTTCTTGATTTTTCATTAGCGAAACGCCAAAAGGACTTACTATCAACTGCTAAGTTTTCTTCTATTTCGCATAAATGGAGGTGGCAGCACTCCTTGGAAAGCAATTTACACTTATTTCGTAGATTTGAAAAATTAATATAATCCTCATGATTACTCGAATGTTCAAAGGATTTATGGGCAATTTTTTTTATATGCTGCTTTTTAGCTCCGGGCTATACCAACATGGAAACTTTGGATTTGGTTTCAGAATTTTAGTAGGAATGTAGGTGTGCATTAGAGCAAATAGTTTTTGGGAAAGAAAGTTTTTGGCTTTCTACTACGCCATCTTGATACAAAAAAAGAATGAGGTAATCTTCCAAAGAACGGAAGGAAGTAATCAATTTGAAAATAAGTAACTCAATACATGGATGTGTAGATCATGCAAAGAAGTAACTTTCAGACACAAACTGAAAGAAAGTCCTCCTGAAACAGCTACTTTCATATAAACATTGAATTACACGAAAGAAAAAAACTTTCGAAACAAATGCTTCTATATGAACACTGAATTATACTTTGTATAATGAATGAATGGTAACAAATTGCACTCACATGGAAAACTGTCATCCTCACTGGTATACATCGATGTTTCGCCTTAGGACACTTGCCCCAAGGCTCTTCAGTACCAAATTGGATAACATTATAGAAAATACACACATTTCATTCATGAATTACGATTTTTAATGTCACGGAATAAGCTTGATCTGCTTATGTCATCGACGACATCGTAATGACATTCATTCACCATATGTATATCGCACAATTGGGCAATGGAAGTATTAATGTCATTCATATTCAAGTAATTATCCCATTCAATCATGGATAAGTGGTAGTTAATTGAATTATAATCTCCATTTTTGAAATCAAAAACAACTTCTTCAGTTACTAATATGTTGTCAAGATTACTTGTAGGTATATAGAAAAAACAGGAAGTATGGTGTATGCTATTATGATGTAACAGATCAATAGTTGGGAGCACCGTAACTGATTCCAGATTAGAAAAAATCAGATCAAGTAGAATATTACGAGTATTGCGAAAACCGTTGTGTTGAAACAGGTTCAAGAAACTGAAAGATTAACATAAAGTTAAAGCCGGTAAACTTATAGGACACTGAACAGTAACTCCAAGATTACCTTTGGACCACACAGCCTGTGGTAGGTTATAATCACCAGCAATTAAAAAAATTGTGGTTAACATGGTTTTGCATTAATTTTTCAACTTCTTCCGCATGTACCAAGTATTTATCTACAGTGGAGTTTGGAGGGATGTAGATACCACCAATGATGATTTTGCTGATTCCATATACTATCTGCACAAAACACTGCTCCAAGTTAACGTTCGTCTCAATAAATTTTGGGTTCGAATTAATTTTAATAGCTATTAATACCCCACCTCCTTTTTTCTTACTGGAATGAGCGGAAGATACAAGATATAGTAATCTTGAACTAATGATTCTATTATACTTATATCATCAGATAACCAAGTTTCTGATAATATTATTACATCATAATTACTTTGAAGGACGAAATTTTTTAAATTTTGAAGACTAGACTTCAAACCTCCCACATTCTGGTAGTAGCAGGAGAGAAAAGTTTTTTGCTTCACATTTTTCTTAGTGACATATGTTGAGTTTTTAACAAATTCAGCATCATGATTTAGATCACGGGTAAGACATCCACGGTTGATTGTGGTATTGCCTTTGTCCTATCACAGTTGCGGGTAGAAATTTGCAGAATGCGGTTTTTCATTTATTTGCCCAAATTAATTTTCGTTGACTGCTTGTGGTATGACCAATAGTTCAAGAACCTACCAGAACTGATAGGCTTGCGATACCAATCTATGAGTAGAGTGTTATCTGGTGTTCTGATAACCTTCGTGTCAAGGAAATGAGCCCATCATTCGTTGTTCTCAGTTTCGATGGTGAACTGTATGTAAGGGTCATAACTGTTGAAGATGTCCACAATCTCAGATGTTCCATCTTGAGGAAGGTATATGATAATGTCATCGACATATTTTTTTATAAAAAAGAGATTTTGGTCTAGACGTTGGTATACTAATTTCAAAACGTGTTCGGAAAGTTCTGGTCCCGTTGATTGTCTATTTCTGACGTGATCTCTATTTATTTTTACGCAATTTCAATTGATTTCAATATAAAATTTACTGTGAGAACAAAGTTTGTCATAAATGCCATTTTTTGTGATACCCTTTCAGATAGTGCTTGGGTTTTGAGTGAGTTAGTGGCTATTGAATTGGTGTTGCTGTACGTGAAGTCATTTGGTTGTTGAAAACTCATTGTTTTCTATCTCATTCATTATCGAGTTCACGAACGAATCTGGATATGCATTTCACCAATGATACTTTTTCATCAAAATCTTGTGCTGTGCTGGGAAAGGTGGGCATTCCCAGAAAGTGACTTTTGTCCAATATTTGATACTACTTTGCTGAGAAATTTGAATTAGGAATGTCACTTTTCAGCTCTAAAGATTTATTTTTATTTTGATGATGATGAAATGAACATTGATTCAGAATATTGGGTGGAATGACGATCAGAAAGCAATTCATTTCAATTTTCAATATCATGAAAACGAAGCATCCTATATTATGGTATGAAATAATTGAAGCGTGTTTTCCTTTATACAAGGGACAATAATCTTGATCAATCTAAAATATGTCTCTGGAAGACATTTTTCTTGTTATATTGATGTACAAAATAAATGAGACCTATGAAAGCAAAGGTTATAACGTATCTGGTATATCGAAGAATCTAGTACATATCAGGAGCGGAAACAGTTCAGACCTAGATACGGTATAGTTGATAAGACTTTCTTAATGAACTGATGTCTATTTCATTTTGTCAGGTCAAAACTATCAGTGATTATAAGCTTGTAAAAACAGAAATTCTACTCCCAACACCTCAAGATCAGACAGGTCTTATTTTTTGAACTACTGGTAATACTGAAGCGTTTTATTTGCATCTGAGTTGAAATTTTTGAAAGAATTCGATTGTGTTTAGACATTGAGCAACTTCGTTGAAAATATGGATAGTAATGTTTATATAGTTCATTATTATTGATTGTAATTTTGAGATTGTATGAGGCATTTCACGAACAATTTTGTAATTCTTACAGAACATGAAATTTACTGGACGTCAGGAAATAAAATAGCCAATCACAAGACTTGGCGTTGGTCGGACTCGGAAAAATTTAGTTATCTTCATTGGTTCACAGGAGAACCAAATAACGACCAAGGTAATGAATTCTGCATGGAAATATGGAAGACTGGGTATTGGAACGACAACATATGTGAGACAAAACTTCCATATATTTGTGAAAGTGTGGTAATTCCAAAAGACAATTTTCCAACTGTTGAAGTCTTTGTCGACAAAGAGCTGATATTCAAGAATTACAGTATCAATGTAGCTCAAACACCTAGTATATCAGTACACATTGGTATGGATGGTGAGTATACCTAAGTGATATAAAAATAAAAAAATACGAAATAATTGTCATATTTTCAAAATGATTAAAAAAGTAATTATCAACAACCAGTTCAACAAATGAGGTAAAATTTTATAATTTGTACCTACACGAGCCAAATTTCAATTTTTGTATGGTGAATACTTTTTTCACGAATCAATGTCAGTTGATTTCAATTCCATAAGAATGGCCAGTCAAAAATTAAAAAACTTTCAGAGACTCATTTCTGGAATTAAAACTCATATTATGCTTTCAGAACAGAGGCGGCACCTTTAGAACCTCTTATTTGTCACCGTGACAATATGAGCCGTATATTAGATGGGCTGAAAAGTTCGTAAGCTAATACACAAGTGGAGCTTTCAGTATAAAATTCATATGATTTTTAGTTAATCCTAACCTTCAAAGGACACGTGTACAAATTTCACAGCTATCGGACTATTAGTTTGTGACATAGACCATTTTGAGTGTAGCAACTTTTGTTAGTTTGGAGAAAATGGATAAAAAAGAATTTCGTGCTGAAAAAAATACTGTTGAGGGAGAGGCTTGGCTAGAAAAACCACTTTCAGACTTTGACAACAAGGAAAATCAACTGCTGAGAAGTTGTTTGCTGAGTTTAACTGAGGTGAAATGAACACCGAGGACGATTCACGCAATGGACGTCCTAAAAACTATGTTACCGACGAAAACAAAAAAAGTCCGGAAAAGTGAAGTTGATCGAGATAGCTAAGGCTCCGGAGATATCAAAAGAACGCGTTGAACGTATCGTGCATGAATATTTGTGTATGTGAAAGCTTTGTGGGAGCTTACAATCGACCAAAAACAACAACGATGATTGTGAGTAGTGTTTGAAGCTGTTTAGCCATAAAAAAGACAATGGATGGAACATCGATAAATCATTTCACAGCAGGATCGAAACGATCTTCATCTGAGGAACTGCACGTGGTGAATCGATTCCAAAGCGTGCAAAACGCAAAAGTCGGTTGGTAAGGTTATGGTATTAGTATTTTGGGATGCGCATTGTATAATATTCATCGACTATTTTGAAAAGGAAAAAAACCTCAATAGCCAGTATTACATAGCGGTACTGGAGCATTTGAAGGACGATATCACAAAAAGGCCTTATTTGTCCTTAGCACGTACAAATTTCGACTTTTGAGAGTTGTCGTTCGTAGGAGGGCGACATCTGGTTAACTGAAAAACAGATTTCAACACATTTTTTCAACAGAAACGAAAATGCTGTTCCATCAAGGTGATGCACTTCAGAGCCCTGAAGAAGATTTCAATTGAATTTGAAACGTCGGCAAGAAAACAATCATTTTTTAAAGAAAAATGTATCCTGTTACACAACCAATGATTCTTCAGAAACATTATTGGATTACTAAACTAGTTACTTGATATTGATGTTTTTTTAATACATTATCAATAAATGAACAGTATTACTTAATAGATTTTGAATGTGTTTTAACAAATTTCTGTAATCATAATTATTTTTTTATTTTTCAAACATGTCTGAATGTTTGCAATAGTTCTGAAAGTACTTGATAATTTTGAAAAAATTGAAGATACATATAGATGATTAAATAATAATTGTTTAAAACTCTTCCAAAATACAAATCATGAAATTATAAAAACAACAACAAAAATTAATTGGCGCTTCGGGACGACTTCATTGATTCCAGTGGCACATTTCCTTTTTCAGCTGTAGGAAAACCCGGAAAAACTTGCAGCACCACATCATCTGAAGATCATGATCTGCCAATGCCCTCTGTCTCATAAAACAAAATGTAGGGTGTCTCCAGAAGCTCCAATAAATTAAATACATCGCCAAAACACTTAGTGACACGACTATTGTCAAACTTAAACCAGTCCGTTTCGTCTTTGACCAAGGCGTAATAATGATCAGATTCAACGCCAGAACTACAGTGAACAATGATTGCATGAAGATTATTATAGTGGTCTGCTAGGTTGAAGTGTTCATCTATTTCGACCCTTCGTAAGAGTTTGCTGCTTCCGTCAGAGGTTGAGTCATGTTTGAAGATCATCAGTGTTATTATTAGATTGACTGGTGCCTCAGCTAAACTTGTTTTCTTATAACAGTCAGTTAGTTTGGCGCATGTTTGGCAATACATTCGATCATCATCATCCATTTTCAGATGATTTAACAATAAGCTTTGCAGGGACTGGTTATTAGTCATATTAGGAAACGGTAGTCGAAGTTCCAGAAATTCACATGCGTTTTTGCTACTTCTTGAACATTTACTACAAAGTAAACAAGTGAGGATTTTTCCAGCAAAAGATTTACAAACACAAGACGAGATAGACTGTACGGAATCATTCATTCCAGAGCGGTCAGGAGTACTGATTCTGCTATTTTCTTGCTCACGAAAAGTATTCAACAAGAACCCCGATAATTCGGAACAATCCTCTTGTTGTCCTAACGAGTATCTAGTGGATTTCAAAGACTCCAGGAAATCGCTTACAAACCTGCAGCTGCATGAAGAGCTGTTTGAATTTGGTGAATAAGTAGGTGTTATGTTTTTTATTGCGGTTACCACGTTTTGCTACCAAATTATGTTATTGAAACTAAAGTCTGAACCGCTTACGTTGTTCTACTAAGAAACTGGGCTGCTAAAACTGTTTTTATTTCCTAAATGTTGTACAATTCGAAATTAATTGTTTGACAATTACGTGACGTTTTTCAATTATATCAATAAACATTGGCGTAACAAAAAACATTGAAAAAGGAAACAAAATAAATATTAATTTCTTCAAATCCTCAAACAGTTGTAAACATTCTCGTTCAACATTAAAACCACGTTTTTGAAATTCGTCGTCATGAACAACACTTGTAAAATGCTATTCATGTAGCAAGTGTTTCCTAAATTATCTAACCCAAATTTCTTCTCATGATTTTCAGGACAACTGTCTACTGATTCGTAAGGAAAAACATATTTCACAAAATCTGTATCAGAACCATTTCTCAAGCTGCAATCGATCCTTCCAAGTGATGAAGGGTTTTGTAGAGGAATCAGTTTGGCTCTTCCTTCATTAAGCTCTTCCACTGAAAGGGAACTAGAACCACGAGGACTGCAACTCATATTTGGGGGGCAATAATGACCTAAGTCCATTGACCGCACTGAAAAAGAAGAAGGTGGATCAATCACTTGCGAATTAATCTTGATAGGACACTGATGAATATTCACATATTTCGGCTTGTTTCGAAGAGATTTTAGTTCCGTATTGAAATAAGGGCAATGCATGATCACATCAAAACTATGTGACAGAGGAATAGTTGCAAGGACCGAAGCAGCATTTCCACGTTGAATAGCAATACTAATTATTTCTATCAAAAAAGAGGACTGACGGTGATCTTTCGTTGGTTGCCCTATTCTAAATTCATGAACGAATTAGAGAGATTCCGGGCCATAAACATCAAAAATTTCAACCACTACTGGATGGAACATTTAGTTGTTACCAGGATTTTGGTATTTTTTTCGTCTCAATTTTTCGCCAGACAATGCTGCGGTTCCAGCAGCACAAGTATGAGGCACACAAATAGATAAACTCATCCTAAGTCCTAGTGCTATTCTGAAAGATTCATCCTCTAATAGTGTTCCAAGAGATGCAATAGGTGAAGCAGTCAGCCAAGCACCCGATTCCTTGATCATTGCTGCTTTCAGATGAGTCTTATCATATACAATTGTAGATTTCAGAAGTTTATCAGTTATAATGTTCAGAAGAGGTCGGTCCCATGAACTTTGTATTTTCTTTTTATCTGTAGGAGGAGCAATATTAGTTGCGGCATGCCAAAGTGATTCACTTTCAGCATAAAAACGTCGTTGATATCGATAAATATGGAAGGAAGGACGGGATCGATAAGATCAGAGACACTATTGACTGACGACAGAAATGCTGGTAAAGCTACGGAAGAAGCCGAACGTAGCCCTAGTTCGCCAAGGTTTACAGGAACCGTTGCTTTGAGCCATGAATAATTATTGAAATGATTGTTTGTAACATATTCCGTCGTGTTGCGGAGTAAATCATCAAATTCGTCAAACTCTAACTGACTTGACCAAGTGGGGGAACATCTGAGGGCTTACATGAGTTTTGGAACCACCAAAAAATTTTCGAAAAGAAAAAATACAACGTGTTAAGGAAGGTCATTCAATCTGGTGATCAGCGATTTCAGTAATCCCCGTTTTTCTCGAAGATGTTCTGAAAGTGAATCTTCAGAAAGAGGAGCACCCAGAAGACTCCATTTAGTCTTTTCCGAAATTTTTATACCTGGAGCCGATTTCAAAATGATGGATTCAGTTCAAGTCCAATATATTTTGAATAATCCATGATTTTTTGTAAATCTTTTGAAACAATGTTTTCATCGCCAGCGATTGAGCCATCGTCCAAATACCAACAACTGAATTCAGATGATAAGTTTTGAGTGACTTCGTTGATAGTCAGACAGAAAAGAGCAGATCCTAAGGGATCACCTTGTTGAACACCTCTCTCAGACAGAATCAGATGTTCACCAAAACTCAAATAGGAAGCTGATTTATAACACTGACTCAAGAAGGGGTATAATCCTGGAAACGAATCTTTAACCTTACGAAGCATGATGTATCTATCAGTCACGTTGAAGGCATTTTTGAAATTTATTTTCAGGAAAATTTTTGAATCGGGATTTGGATGAAGATTGATATATCTACGAGCAGCATGAGCAACAGCTCCACATCCACCTGCAATACCGTAACCAAACTGTAGTGGGCGTAACATTGATCCTAGTTCGTCTTCGATCCTCATACCACCAAGTTTTGCTACCTATCTACGATAAAAGGTACCGACAACAATCGGTCTTACTCCTCCATCCTTTTTCCGAAGAGTACACAGTGAAGGATCAAAAAGTATAGGACAGATTTCTGGAGTAACTCTATCAGTTAAAATGAAGTTACATAATTTTGTAACAGAGGAAGTTTCTGTCCTGAATTTCCAGAGCTGTGACTAATGAGGTCTTGCATGTGGCTAGGGCGGAAAGAATTCAAACCACCAGCAGAACCAGAACGAAAATATTTAATTGTGGAAAGCTTCACGATTTTGCGTGTCATCCTTGCGCAGGGGCCATACTAATCTACTCTGTATCATTCCAATTTCAGTATATGTACCGCCGAAGCGAGTACAATACTAATAGAATATATTTCTAGAATACTCTGAAGAATACTTGTTAAATGAAACCCTTGAATTATTCTGCTTCTGAGACATTTTGACAACCACACTCAATGAGTGTGGTTTCATATTACCAAATGGTTGATTTGGAAATTTGGCTTCGCAACAGACTGCCTTTGGGAGCCTCGTTTAGCATTAATATTCGTATATTGAATCTTCCATTATGAATTTTTCTCATGAAAATAGTTATTAATATACCAAGGGTGTTAGATATTTATGCACTGATCTGACAAACAAAAGGCCCAAAGCATTTTCCGGTTGTTTCACTTTCAATGTTACATGGAACGGTACGCTTGAATTTTTTTCACTATTTTGTTCCACATACCTAGTTATAAAATTTCAATATTGCCTTTTTTTTATATTTCTACCAAATCATAGTCGTAAGCTTTCTTGTTGACGATTTTTGTTACTTGTTATTTTCAGGAAACAATAAATCGGATCATTCTACGATAGTACTCTTCCAGACTAAATATTTCTCGAAGGATGTTACAGACGTCAGTGAAAATCTCGCTATTCCTTCAAATTTCCAACCAGAGAACTTTAATGGTATCGATTTCGTTATTATGAAGACAACAGAAAAAGGTGGGTTAATTTTCTCTGGTGTAGAATAGTCTCACAAGTGATTAATAAACGTCACTAATGTAGCCAGAATGACCACAGATGAGATGGTTAAAGTAATTGGTCTTTTTGGGAAATACTGGTTTTGGCTTTCAACTTCGTCATCTTTATACAAAAAACTTGTGCGTCTCGTGTCTCCGATAAAAGTGATAACTTAAACTAATCTAAGTTAAAGTATTCAATATTGAAATTGTTTAACTTCAGAAAAGCTTAGGTTATTACTTAAAATATCATGTGTATTAATATGATATCGTAGGAAAAGGTTATTTATTAACAAAATCTTTTATTGATCATTTTGTATATGTATCTACATATATTATAGCTACTGCATAAGCTAATTGTTACTTTTCTAGGAATAAATAATGATACTAATAATGTACATAAACAAAATTAGTACCTGTCATCATTTTTAAGCTACGTTTCATACAATAAGAGAGAAAGAGAGAGAGAGAGAATACCATTTCTAGGTAATAATAACTCCATTCTCATTGGTAGACTTGGCTCCAATAGTTCGATATGTGACATATTACTCACGACACTACTCCAGCACGACTGATCAAGTATCTCGTGCCCACGCGAGATACTTCTCCGTCGCGATAAAGTGAGTGTTATGTATTTTCGGATACAGAACAAATACTTTTAGATTGAACTTTCTTACAAAGAATTATCTCACATTACAACTTTATTTTTTATTTGACAGTAAACCGACAGTTCTCCAAACTCGTATTCCAATGTTTTCTCAATACTAAAGGTTTGGTACTTTTCAGCTTACCTTACATGATTATAATATACAACAGTGAGGAGAAAGGGAAGCCAGACATACTGATGCGTTACGTTACAAAGCGGTTTACCCTCCCATAAGAAGTTATCACTTTAAAAATGTGGTAAACTGAAATTATATCAAATGAGGGTATTAATGTCATTACGTATTGTCATCGTGACACGAGTCGATTTAACTCATCTCCAATATAAAGGCGTGATATTATGAATGAATTGAGTGTTATACAGATTGGTGTTTATGAGACGATAAGACAAATTCCTCCTTTCGAAACTCCGAAGTCCGCCATTGAGAATGATAGTGTTCCATGTTAGTGAAATGTTTTATTATTACTTTCGTACATTATATTGTGTAGTGTTTCTATGAATGATGTCCATTTAAGTTCTATAACGGAAGTTTAGAGTACAAACTGAATGGAAAAAAGTGATTTTTCTATAATTCAATGTTCATATGAAAGTAGTTGTTTCGAAAGTATGTTTTCATCAGTGTAATCAATTGTTCACATGAAAGTGTTCTGCATAGCGAAATATTCAAATTGCCAGATATCGGAGTTGGAATGGAGAAAACCTGAAAGTAAGACAACTAGTTTTGATTGAAGATGATAGTCTTCCCACTCTGTAATAGAACCAAGGCAGGATCAAGGATGTGTTCGTTGTTTAAGACATGATGAAAGGATTGTAATGATTACAACTCGATTTGATAAATCAAATTTTCTGATTTGAAAGTTCATTCAGTCTTCTTGAAGTGGTTATGATGTTTGGAACTGCATTTGAAACACTGAAAATTCATGAATAAGCAGTTTTGGTCGAATAATTTCAGTTTGATGTTTATTGTTTGCCGAATAATTTTCCAAATCGTTATAAAAAACGATTTTCATTGTGAGATTGAGAATCTATTGTACGAATATTGCTGTTTTGTAAAAACTGTTTATTGAAAATCTCACTACATAGTGTTCATGGGCTAATTCCATTACACATTTTCAACTGTCTTCAGAGATAATCTTTTGCAGATGTCTCGAATTTTATCGACAGTGGGGAAAGTGCTTTTGATAATCTCCCAAAGACTCCCTCATCCTTCTTTTTTGTATCAAGATGGAGTAGTAGAAAGCCAAAAACTTTCTTTCCCAAAAAAGTAATTCACATGTTTATACATTTTTAAAAACATAAATTATTATATCTGCAACTATTATAGGTTTCAGCTGTCCAAAGACCTACCTCTTCCAAATAAAGCCTGAGGTTTGTTAATAGCCATTTTCTGTAGAAAATAAACATTATCAATTTTCATTTTTAGTTCAATTATAATGGAGCAATGGAATTCTGCAATGAACGTTCAATGCAGCTTCTTTCCATCCAAGATGAAAAGGAACAGATGAAGATCGAAGAGGAAATGTTAAAAAGGAGTAAGAAAAAAATAAAGTTTCCCATTGTATTTTCTGTTATTTCATGTGATAATTCGCGTTTGTAATAGTTGGAATTTATGTCCCAGTAAGAATTTGAATAGTAAGTTCGATATCTTATAGAGAATTATGGAATATAATTGTTGGAGTTTCCGTACCCCGTGTAATGATCCCATACATAAACATAATTAAATGAATGAAGATTCTTTCATCATCACTCAAATATTTATTTTCATAAACATGTATGTATGACATTTTATATAAACTGACCAGCGGCCGTATCTAAGAATTGCTGCATTCAGCATGCTTTGTTGAATGTTTGAAAAAAAAAATTTTATCATGCCACCACAGTGTTGAATGACCTAGTCAAATAATGTCATCTCAGCTATATATGATTGTGTTTGTTGTTTAAGAAGCTTTTATGAGTCTAATTCACACTGTAATATCTCAGTAGATACTCGTTCGAAATAAGTGCCATTTGAATCAGTTTACTTTTGTAACACAAGTCGAATAATTCCGTCAGCTTAAAAATTGTGAGCTCGGGATTCGATGAAATCGTCGGAGGCCGTTTTTGCCTGTTCCTGATTGTCGAAGGTTTCACCTGTGAGAAAGTTATCGAAGTCCTTGAAAAGATGTAAGTCGGTTAGCGAGAGTTCTCGGCAGTATGGTAGGTGAGCTGCTGCTGTTGACGCAATTTCCTCACGATAGGACTCTGCTGTGATGATTTGGCCCGGTTACAGAAAGTTATAGTGAATCACATCAGCCGCTGACCACCATACAGTAACCGTGGTCTCTTTTTAATTGGTTTTCGCCTTCGAGAAGCACCTGCGTAGCTCATCGATGTCCAACCACTGTCCTGAACATCTGCTATTGTCGTCAAGGATCAGCTTTAAATCACAAGTGACAATCCGATCCAAAGAAGAACATACTTCGAATTTCTGACGATCGTTCAAATCACGGGGCATCCAATTTTCGAACTTATCGACCTTTCCAATACGTTTCAAACCATTGAAAACCACATGAGAGCTGACGTCCAGTTCATTCGTCAACCCACATACAATTTGTGATGGGTTAGTCTCTATCAGGGTCTTCAAATCCTTGTCCTGGATTACTGTTGGTCTCCGGAATCTATGTATCGAGTATAAAACTCTCTATCGATCAGAATATATCACGACATAGTAGAATTAATATTTATTGAGACATGGAGACAAACGAACAAACATTTTGAAACAAGCATTTTCTTAATTGTTAAAATCTAATCTATCTATACTAATATAAATGTGAAAGTTTGTGAAGATGGATGTATGTACAGCTACCGCACTGAGTAATGGGCCGGTGGGAGAAATTGTACATACGTACTTAATGTATTGAAGGGGCTTCTCACCGGACATGACTCAGTCCGGCAGCTGTAGGTCCGTCTACTCTTTCACGCCTAAACGTCTGAACGGATTTAAATAAAACTTTTCATAAATACAGCTTATACATCAGGATAACATATAGGCTACAATTTACGAAGGTTTTGTGTAATTTGGGACATAATATAACGATAAGTATTAAGTAAATCGGAAAAATTCTTGCTACCTGAGAGCTATCTTGGCATGCGTTGCCTATGCCGTTGGAGTTACATACCGTACCATAAGATTGTTTATCTTAAACCGTTCTGCATAAAAGTCCACGATAGTATATATCTACCTCTTATATGGTAGACACTATATGGAAAATACTGAGCTATGAATACATTTAAATTGAATACTTTTTTTACAATTCACATTTTAAAATATCTGTCAAATTCTTATAAAATTTGACACAATTTTCCTATCAAGTATTTGATATACACACACTTTATCTTTTACATTAAGTAATTTGGAAGAATGGTTTGAAACTAATCACGTTAAGATTAACCTGGCGCAACGCAGTAAGGCACTATGCGTCACGTCTACTATAAGACGACGGCAAAACATGCGCAAGCGCCATCGCCGAGAACGCGACCTGAACGCGGGCAGACGTGTGAGGGTAGACGTCGTTGACGGTTATGTTAGTTTTGCGAATTTCTTAATAGGTAACATAATTTGATTATCGAAGCTATTCATTACTTAGTGCAGTTGGCATATTTTTTCAGTGACTGTATTTTTAAAGTGAATCCTTAGCTGTTGTTTGCTCTTATATTAAGGTACAGCCGTAGCTAGTGAACCTAGAATCTTCAAATGCAGGTAGGTTTTTTGTATAGCGTAAATAACCATAAAGAAAGGGTATCAGAAATTTTCACCTCCAAGGGGGAAAAATAGGGGTTCAAAGATTGTATTGAATTACGTCAGTTTTGAATTTGTAAACCTGAAGATTTGGGTTGATAATAAAATATGGTAACTATTTGTTTAAAATGGTCTGTCACGAAACTCAATGTGACAAACCAAATTCTACGCGAAGTCGCGGACAACAACTAGTAATTGATATATTATATTATTCCTCTTCGTTAGCAAATAATGCTCTTCATAGTCAAGTCAGTCACTTATAAAATACAAAACAAAAAAATATAAAAATAGAGACAAGTCACATTTCAAAAACAAGAAACTAGAAAACAAGACGAATTATTGATGACTATTACTTGAAATATATTCACTACATTTTCTTTTGAATTAATTTAAAGAATCACAGCTTTTTAATAAAGAAGAAGAAGCCATAGAGAAGTAACATAGTGATAGGGACGTCCTCCCACATTCTGATCTCAACTAGTTTCATGTTTATATGTAACTTCAGATTGTCACAGTTTTAATTAGTTTGATCGCTATATCAATAAGGCTCAATAAATAAAAGGATCGCATTATTCAACCTGAACTTTAATCGACAGAAAAAATATATAAAAAGAATCAGTTGTACAATTTCGAAGTTAGTAACTGTACTATTTCCCATTCCATTAGTTCATCACTCAGCTTGTGTATGACAAAAAAACTGAAATAATAAACTAAGTTAAGGCGTTTTGTGTGTGATGTCAATTGAAATGGAAAAATAAATAAAGATATCATGAACATGAATCAGTGAACAAACAACATTACAAACTGAACTATCGGTCATAACATTCATCATTCACTCACCATATACGTAGAGTAATTGAAAGTCTTATATTTCATTCAATGTTTTGTTCTTAATATGGTCCTTGATGACTGCACTTTTGTAGAATTGCTGTCTATTCTATAGGGTAAGTCCTTGTTCAGAAATATTGCAACAGTACAGAATATGGTGAACAATAATGACAGATGTGAATTAGAACATATGAATGAAAGTTCAAATCTACGTATAAAGCTGGTGTAGATCATGAATTCCTAAATTATTTTCATTTATACTTTTAAATTTTTACATTATTTTTTGTGAGAACATGTGCTTTTTCTTTCTGTATCACTACTTCATTTATTTTCGTTTCAATAAATGTTATTGAATAAACATTTGGCATAATATTGTGCACAATATTCAAGCTATGTAAATATGTACTAAATTTGATTAACTCAAATTTTCTTCGATAAGATAATGATTTTCCAAGCCGAACTACTCGAATTTCATAACTACAAATTGATACACTGTATCAACTCTTCATCCAAGACACTAATATCTACTATACGAGGTCTGTTGAATAATAATTAAATTGGCATTTTTCTCAAACAATATATTTTCATTCACAATTTCTATTTTGCTCCCTTCAAAGTAGCCCCCCTCGGCGCATAACTTCATGATGATTCTTCTTATTGACCGTACGACCATGTGACATGAACTCCTGATGCACTACGCCACGGTAATCGAAGTAAACAGAGAGCAAAACCTTTGATCGACCTTTGCATGCTTTTTTTGGTCTTGGCACTCTTGGGCTCTTTCCTTGTGACGATTGGACTTTGTTCATAACCATATATCCATTATTCATCACCAATTATGACCCTTTCAAGCAAATCTGGATTGACGTTGACATCATTCAACAATTGGTGAGCGATACTCATACGATGGTTTTCTTGGTCAAAATTCAGCAATCTTAGAACGAACTTTGCTGTCACATGCTTCATGTCCTAAATGTACGAAAAAATTGCATGGAATGAGCCAACGGATATCCTCAGTAACTTCTCTAATAGTGATTCGACGATTCTCCGTAACAATTTTCCTCACTTTCTCAATATTTTTATCGGTTGTTGATGTGCTGGGGCGTTTAGGGTGAGCGTCGTCATTCACATCTTCCCGACCTTCTGTGTAAAGCCTCTACTAGTTGTAAATACGTTTCTGACTCAGAGTACAATCATCGTATACTGTCAACATTTCAAGTGTTTCTCCATTTTCATACAAAATTGGATGCAAATTCTGTGATCCATTTATTTTCGATAGCAGAAATTCCCCGAATATGCAAACAATTAGAACGTTCACCTAATTTTTTGAACATACGTACTTCATTTATTGTATTATCAGATAACAGCTTCACCATTTAGTTACTGATTCATGTTATCCAAACCGTTCGAGTGGCCATTTTCAAGATAGTGTACATCTAGAAATTCAAAATGTCGCTTCAGATGAATGGAATATTTTGTGTTTTTTCATTTTATGGATGCATATCTGTATGTCTCCAACAAAAATGTACATGCATGTTTTAAATCAGTGTCATCGATTTTTTTCTAGATATAGATCATTTTTACTGGACCTCTGGATATCTTGCTGACGGTATTTGGTACTGGAATGAAAAAGAAGAGATGTCTTACCAAAACTGGGCTAAAGGACAACCTGATAATAAAAATGGAAACGAATCGTGCCTGGAAATATACATACCATGGAACAAAGCCAGATGGAATGATCAAGATTGCATTGACAAAAACCCTGTAATATGCGAGAGTTTGGATTAGAACATGGAGATGATCAAAATGAATTCGTATGATTTAATATAATCTTGAACTGTTTTTCATTGAATTTATATAAATTGAATCCAAAAAACTTTTCGCTTGAGAAAGATTTTTTTTATGTAAATACATACTGTTACATTTATTGATTCAAGAAATATTGCTGAAATTTTCGTCTGAAGTGATTAAAATTATTTACCATTATTTATTTTTCAAGGAATCGACTAGTTGGTATCAGTGAGTGAAATATTGTTCCACACATTCGGCTTCTAATATGTTAAATTAATTTCAGCTGTTTGTTTCGACACAGTATGTCAAAACAGCCGTCAGCATCAAATGTTAGTGTTGTGTAAATTGTGAAGGAAGTGAAATAGTATGACGTCCAACAAACTCACAATATGATAATTCAGTAGAGCCGTCAGTTTCAAATGTATTTCTCATTTTGGAGATTGTTGTTCATTTGGAGAAAGTTTCTCACAAGTAGTTGATATCTTCGAAAGACATGGAGTCTTTGCACTTCTCTTACGACGTTGGAGTTCTCTAACTCTGTTGGAGTTCATTTATGAGACTGTTACTTGTCGAATATGATATTACTAATGAATGAATTTATTGTGTTTAACAAAATCATTGAGGAGTTTCAGTTCATTCGTTTGAATTTTCAACTGATTATAGCTACTTATAACAAGGCAGGAATTTCTGAGGTATCTGATCGGCAAATGTATAATACAGGGGTGCGCAAAAGTCCGGAATAAAATTAATATCTTTTTAACCAGTATTTTAGGAAAAAAACGCTGAAACACGTCAGTTGATTTCACGTTGTACGCATTTTTTGGCAATAAAATGAAATTTTTTTTCAACCCCTTAGCTGCAACCCTCCCCAACTTTTTTTCAATGCAAACCTATGTCGTGTATGGACTCATTGAAAACCTCATAAAAATGTATTCTGACCATACTCTTAATTTTTTTTTGTGGTTACAACGAAACTTAGTGCTATATACGGGTGAATTAATGTAACAGCTGAAATTGGCCTCCACCCTCTACTTGGCAGACTCCTAGGCGATGGTAAAACCCGTCTACGGAATTCCGAATTCCACTCTAATTCTGCTTTTTAGATCTTCAATATTAGCCAGCCTATTTTGATAAACCTTGTCTTTCATATATCCCCCATGAAAATAAACTAATGGCGTTGAGTCTGGGGATCTTGGCGGCCAATCCAGTGTCCTGAAAATATGTCATCGAGATATTCTCTGACATTGATACCAATGTCAGAGAATATCTGGCATTGGTATTGGGGATATCTGGATCTGCTTTATTGGGAAACATAACAGCAAAAGCAGGGACTAATTCAAAGCGTAAAAAGTCTAAGTAGCGTGTATCTATAAGGTTTCCCTCAAAAAAGTATGGCCCTAATATTCTGTTGTTGATGATGCCTGCCCATACATTTACTTTCTGAGGACGCTGCGTACCAGCTTCGCATATCCAGTGTGGGTTTTCCTGACTCCAGAATCGATAGTTGTGCCTGTTAACTACTCCATGTAAATAAAAAGTAGCTTCGTCCGAAAAGAGTATGTTGAGTGGAAACCCATTATTCTCGTCACATCCTCATTCCTCACAAAATTGCAAACGTCTGTCATAGTCATCTTCCAAGAGCTCTTGGACAAGACATACCTTATATGGGTGGTATTTTTCGGTTTTCAAAAACCTCCCAATCGTACGTCTAGACGCAGGATTGTTTTGGGCTAATGAAACCGTTGACAAATGTGGATCTTCCTGCAGAGATACGGCAATGTCCAATTTTTGATCTTTATCTAAAACATGTGGCCGGCCACTGGGCAAGTCCTTCACTGTACCATGTTCTTCAAATTTGTGTAAGTTCTTACTCACAGTAGCCTGGGAAATGTGATTTTGCATTAAATAAAGTACACACCTCACTTTGACTCCGCATTCTATCTCCACATCCCAACAATATCAAGACTTCGATACGCTGCCTCTCTGACAATACAATTTTTGTTCAGTAAATTAAGAAAGAACACTTTGAAAGTACTCAATTAATAAATTAAACATACCTACATTTTTTCAATTTCACCCAGAAATGCCACAATTTTAAAACTGAGTCAAGACGATAGTTCTTATCAAGGCATTCATTTTGGTACATAAAAATGCAACAACCTTTTTCTCTTTTTGAGGTACACTGGTCAACAATTGCTTGGGATGGAACTAATTTTATGTGTAAGTTATTGGTGAAAAAATAAAATCCACAGAATGTTGATGCTACATTACGTTATCAGTTTTACATATAAATCAATAAAATTTGTTGTGGTGCCTGGCCCGGTTGGTCTGTTCTTAAGATTTGTAAACTTATAGAAAGTAGGTACTGGTGATCCTTACCAATTGTTGAGCAATGAACATCATCACCACTTATTTGTTTTTTGCAACGTTAATCATCCGTAGATAGCACTATTTATGTATTTCCAACTTTTTTGGTTTTAAAAGAGTTTTTTCTCATTTCGTGGTAACCGCATGAGTAAAAAAAATAAAGGGTATGGTCATATTCCATTTTTACGAGCTTTCAAATGAGCCCATACACGACATAGGCTTGCATTTTAAAAAAAAATTGGGGAGGATTGCAGCTAAGGGGTTGAAAAAAATATTTCATTTTATTGCCAAAAAATTCGTTGCTGTGCCGCTGTTTCTGGTTTCAAGAGTGGAAATATAAGGAAAAATGCATGATGGCACCCCTAGGGTCGAAATACTCCGGAGGTAAAATAGCTCCCCAATCGTATCTCCGGGTGGGGGCTGATTCAAGGGCATCATCCTGCAGAAGTTATTCGAAAACCACTATTTCTGACAGTCAGCAGGATCTTCCTAACATCAGTCCACAGGGAAATAGCATGGTAACTGCAGTTGCTAAGAGACCCACTAGCCACTTTAAAAACGATTTCTGCAACATCAGAGGACTCAACTCAAATATAAACTCAGTGCACCAACATCTGCAATCAAATATTCCTCATATTCTTGTACTTACAGAAACCAAAATCAGCGCTTCAACAGACCCCGTCAATTTTCTATATCCTGGCGGCTATGATTTCCTCTCCCGATTCAAACGTAACTCTGGAATATTTTTTTGCCAGAAGCGATCTCTGCTGTCAACGAGAGGATTTGCTGGAACCCCGAAACATTGATGTTATTTGGTTCGCAATAATATCTCAGAAGATCACCAAATTTATATGCTGCGTTTATCGATCACCTAGCGATACACAATATAGGGCACTATTCTTTTCACTTGCAAACACCATTGACTTTCTGCAAATCAATCATCCCAGTGCCGAAATTTCCATATTCGGTGATTTCAATGTCCACAATATCGGATGACTCAACGACGAACAAGGTCGTGAAGCTGAGGCTTTCGCAAAAAGCAGCGGACGTACTTAGATTATGAATGCTATACCTAACAACCAATCCAGAAATTTACAGTCACCTTAATGTCTTCATTCGGATCTTCTGAACACAAACCCATTTCAGTGTTGAGTGAATTACCGTTTAATATTGGTGAACAATCTAAGCCGCGCAAAGTTTGGCAGTACAGATCAGCTGAATGGGAGGATCTTCAAGACCATTTCTGAAATTTTCCCTGGTTAGATGTTTGTTTCAGCTTTAAACATTCATCAACTTGTGCTTATGAAATCACGGAAGTTATTCTATCATCTAAGGATGCATATATTTGTTTTTCAATGAAACGACCTTCAAACGACAAATCTTGGTTCAATAAAAATTGCGAGCAAGCTGTCGCCTCCAAATATCTCGCCAACAGGTAGTGGCGCAAAAACCTCAGTGCCGAAAATCGAACTAGGTTTTGGTAATGCTCACAACAGCTGCAAACTTAGGATAAGGGAAAGCAAAGAACTTCACAGTCAGAGAACTGTTTGCCAATCCCAACGGGTCTAGATCCTTCTGGTCGATAGTTGAAGCCGTAATCAGAACTTTACAAAATCCACAATTCCACCACTGACACAAGCGGATGATTCAATTGCAGCAAGAGCCATAGAAAAAGCATATTTACTAGTTGTACAATTTACGTCCCACTCCACAGTCGATTTTCTGGGAAAAGCACCACCCACTATTTCCACACCAGAATCCACAATGCCGGAAATTGCTTTTTGACAGCGTCTAGTCTGGCTAATTTTGCTCAATATCAACAAGGCCCTGATGAAGTGCTCATCATCATACTAAAAAAGTGTCTTACCAGAAAGGGGTTTTTCTTTCTTGTTGCTCGCGTTCAGCCTATTCCCAAAAAGGGCAAAAAAATCTTCCAAATGATTATAGAACAGTCGCTTTGCTATCAGTGATATCAAAAATCATGGAGAAAGTCGTGAACCACCATATCCTCAAATATGTGGAAGGCTTCAACATCTTGAGCGATCATCAATATGTCTTTCGGAAACAAAGAATACATGGGACCTTCTATCGTATGTCACCCATATTTGGAATAACGCAATCGACAAACATGAAGAATCCAAAGCTGGGCCTTTGACCGTGTTTGGCAAGAGGGTTTGCTGGCCAAACTTCGATAATATGGCTTGTCAGATCGTTTTTGTATATTCTCTTCGGCTTCCTGAGAGAACGTTATCTGCAAGTGGCTGTCGATGGATATCTCTCGAATACTTTCACCAACAACTCTGGTGTTTCCAAGGGATCCATATTGTCTCCAACCCTCTTTTTATTGTATATCAACGACTTATTGAAAAAAACCAAGAATCCAATATATTGCTTTGCTGACGACAGCACACTTGTCTCGTTATTCCATTTGGATTCTAGGACATCGGCTACGGAGGTACAGCTTCACTGGCAGCAGGAGGTTGCATATGTTAATGGTGATCGGTCGGTCGGTGGCCAGGCGGTTCGACGCAGGTGCTTTGTTCACTCACTCGAATTGACTGCCGTGTTGGTCGGTGGTTCAAGCCCTAGTCTCAATGATCGATTTGCACTTGCTATCGTCCAACCCGTGTTAGGAATCACACGTTAAGAGTTAAGACCTCGTTAATCCTTAGCTATCACATGTTTCGACTTTTGAGGGTTGTCGTTTGTAAGGGAGTAACAGCTGGTTAACAGAAAAACAGATTTTGAACAGATTCAAACATATCTAGAAGTGATTTCGAAAGGTCACCAGGTTCAATTCAATGCCACAAAAACCCAGGCATCGGTTTCCTCCAAAAATATAAATGTCTCCGAACCGGATATACTGATGTCAGGTCAGACAATCCCGCTTTCTGTCTCATCAACTTTTGATGCTTTATAAAGCTTTGAAGTATTGTTCTTATGTATGGAGCTCTGTCCCCCAAGCATACTCTGAAGATGCTGGACTCCATCCAGAAAAGAGCCATCCGCCTGATTGGAGACGCGAACATCACGTGCAACCTTGATAGCATGGAACATCGAAGAAAGGTTGGAGATTGGTCTCTCTTCTATAGATACTCTCATGTGAAGTGTTCAAGTGACTTGTCACATTTGATTCCACCAAGAGCGGTACATATCAGAAATTCGCGACGGACTGTGGCTGCTTATCGTTTTGAGATTCAAATCAGTACATTTCGAACTTTACTGTTGAAGAACTCTTTCACCTGGAGAGTTGCGTTTATGTGGAATAAACTTCCTGAGAACGTTTTTCCAAATGGATTTAATCTCCAGCGATTCAAATCTAATGTAAATCGCTACTTTCGCACAGGCACCGCTCGCTCTGAGAGTGCCTTAAGGATTTTCCTGTAGTGTTTGTGTTTTGTCCTTGAAAAAAAAAACTCAATCGACCGAAGTGTTAGTCGGTGATATGAGCCGCAGGCTGTTTTTTTATTCGTAGGGGTGCAACAGTTGGTTAGCGAAAAAACATATTTTAAATATGTTTTAAACATATTCTTCATCTCAAACCAGTTATCGATGAGGAACTTAACGTTTTTCGCATGGATTATTTCCTCCAAACTATGATGAAAAATTTGTAGGCTGAGCCATCAAAATAAAGTTTTATAGCGATGAAACCGGGCCAATTATATGTTACTATTTTGACAGTAACCATTGTTTACTGACAAAAAACTGTGAACTTTGTATATGAAAAATTTCTGTAGTATATTTAGTATCAGCATTGAACCCGGGGGCGTCGCTAATTCAAGATATAATTATGAGTTCCATTTTATAACTATATATATCTGCAGATTGTCATAGTTTTCATTAGCTCAATCGCTGCATGATTTCTTATATAAAAGAAGGCTCAAGAAAATAAAGGTTCGCATTATTTTCTGACTATTGGGCTTTTTCTATATAATATTGTTCACGTATTTAAAGTACTCAGAAAAAAATTCTTATTGTCAAGCGAGTATTTCACTGTCGAATTCCTTGTGCAGTAAATCATTTGAAGTGCTGGAGAATTCCAATTGACTTACATGTTGCTACTAGGAAATCTTAGATGAAACTAAATCCAAGATAACCAGTTTTGGGTACATGAGCAAGGAGGAGACTAATATAAACTTTCTCAAAGGAAAAATTTTCAGGAAAAGATCAACGACTGACTTCAAGACATGCTTTCAGTGAGATAGTAAACAAAAAAGTTATAAACGTGATTAAAGCATGTGTAGTTCGCACCATGTTGAATGTAAAATTACTGAGCTAAATGATTTATGTTAAAAAAACTATTGAAATCTGTTATTCCATCAACCGGCTGTCGTTTTTCTACGAACAACAACTCTCGTAAGTGGAAACTTGTGCGAGCTGACGATTGAAGAGGCCTTGAAGTTTAACGTACGATTGTTAGTAATGGAAATGATTTATGTGGAATAGTTAAACGCAAATTGAATGTCGAATTGAGTGGATAATGACATTCCATTCATAATGATTTAAAGTGCAACAAACAAATTGAAAAAGTGTTATGGTATTAGTATCAGTGTTCGACTAATCATCAGATGACAAAAATCAGGATATAAACTATTAAGAGAATACTTATTGAACGCTAGAAAAAATAGTTCGAAAACGCCGTATCAATAGTAAGAATTTCTACGATGGTGATGATACATAACAGTTTGCTGAAAAGTTCGTAGGCTAACATGGAAAAAAAATTGATCAAATTTGATTTAATTACTCACAATAGTTGCCTTCTAGACCGATATAATAATTATAGGGGTCATACAATTTTTCGATATCATTTTCATAATACGATTTGTCTTTAGCCTCAAAGTAGTCTTCAGTTTCGACAATTACTTTTTCGTCGGCGCTGAATTTCTGTAAAAAGCTTTCCCTTGAGGTCTGAGAACAGGAAAAACTCGCTGGAGGTCAGATCTGAAGAATACGGTGGATGCAGAAGCAATTCGAAGCCCAATTCATACAACTTCGCAATTGTTCTCATTGATTTGTGTCACGGTATCTTCATGGAACGACACTCCTTTTTCTTCAGATAGGGCTTTTTTTTTCGCGATTTCGCTCTTCAAACGCTTCAATAACATTATATAATAGTCGCGGTTGATGGTTTTTCGTTTTCCCGTTTTCAAAAAGGGCGATGAGTATTATACCATTCGCTTCCGAAAATACTGATACCATAACCTTACCAGCCGCCTGTTGCGTCTTTGCACGCTCTGGAGTCGGTTTACCATGTGCAGTCTACTCAGATGACGATCGTATTGATTCTGGCGTGGAATGACGGAGCCATGTTTCATTAATTGTCATATATCGACGCATAAATTGAGGTTTTTATGATGGAACAGCTTCAAACACTGCTCAGAATCATCAATTCGGTGTTGTTTTTGGTTAATTGTGGGCTCGCGCGGCACCCTCTTTGAACAGAGCTTTCGCATACCTAAATATTCATGCATAAATATTCAAAATATTCTATCTCACAAACTGGTAGTCCGACAGCTGTGAAACAAACTTGTTATTTCCTTGTCTTTTGAAGGTTTGTGTTGACTAAAAATCACATGGTTCAAATAATACTAGCGTCAGTGGCTGGCAAAAAGAATATAATGCCCTAATTTTTTGAAAAAAAAGTAAAGGGAAACTATAGATATTTTTATTTCACAGAATTAGCAAAATCTCATGCATTATTGAACAAAACGCAATTACATTTTGTGAGATATAGTGAAGAAATAACAGTATATTTTCATTAAAAAGAATAAATCAGCTGATTTCAATATTGAATTTCGATTATTGTGATCTACACTGATGCTGCGGTTTCACAGTCAAATCTGTCACAAATGAAATTGAATCTGATATCACAGGGCCTATCATTCCATTTTAGGCGATCTCCTATCATCCACAATTGTAAACACTTCTCATTCACATCAGAAGGCTGCCCATTCGACCATTTGGTGTAGTTGACGGGTTCTCCATAGGGTAGCCATAGAAAGTTGAATCCATCAACTAACCGAGTATCAGCTGTCCAGTATTCGGTTCCTTTGCCTAAAATCATTGAAAATCATTCAGAGTTCAAGCATTGAAATATTTCTGTATAAGGAGTGAGTGAAATATCTTTTTTGGTATTGATTCAGTACAGTCGCCAAAAATACACGTTTGATAAATTGATGGATGCAGCCGTTACTACGTGGTAGAAGATCATCATGAAAAATGAGAAATGAAACTTTCTATGTTTTTTCACTACTTTTATTCGTAACTCATGTTGTTACTGCAGTTTTATCCTATAAAGACATTCTCGAATAATTACATTAAATTGTTTGAAAATGTCCTCATACGACCATAAAAGTGGTGAAAAAACAGAAAAAACAACGTGGTTGCAGATCACCATGAAAAAAGAGAAGTAACGTTACTGCAGTTTCACCCTCGAAGGACATTTTCAAATGAATACAATAAATACAACTTTCGGTACTTTTTGTTGAAATAGAAAAGGAGGTGTGGTGATATTTTGTATGGAAAGTATTTCAATTCTCTATACAACGACTTTCATTTTAAATTTTGACAACCGCTTGCGGAGTTATTTGGGACTATTTTTGGGACAGATTTTTTGAAATAAATGTTTATTATTATTTATCTTATAGATAAAAAATCAATTGAGCAAATGATCAAAATTTCCTCCTTGAACTTCCATATAGTGAAACAGTATATTCTCGAACTCCTTTCTAACATTTTGGAAAGTTTCTGGGGAAATACTAGCACATTTTCCGGCAATTCTGTCTCTGAGTTACCGTATTGCCCAGAAAGTGTAGCATAAACTTTCCATCTGATATAACACCGAAGAAAAAAATTGTGAGGCGTCACATCTGGTGAACAAGCAGGCCCTTCTAACGGAACGTCTCTTACAATCCACATGCCTCGGTATGTCTGATCCAAAAAACACCTACAGGGCTAAAAACATGTGGTGCGCATCTGGTCGAAAGACAACTATATTCTCGAATTCATCTTGATTTTGGTCAAATCACAGAAATGTTGCATATTTCGAAAGTCATTCAAACAGTGTGCTGAAATCGAAAACATAATGAGGCGTTTTCAAAATATACCAAAACTGTAAATTTTTTTAATTTGAAAGGGTTATATTTTTAGGAGTGACTAATTTTTTTGGAAAGAAAGTTTTTGGCTTTCTACTACTGCATCTTGATATAGAAAAATGTGGGAACCTTCCAAAGAAAGGAAGGAAGTAATCAATTGTAAAAAGAAGTAACTGTATACATAGATGTGTAGATCATGTAAATGATTGGTACTGAAGAGCAAGTGTCTTACGGCGAAACATCGATGTCTACCAGTGAGCATGACAGTGTTCCATGTTAGTGAAATTTCAATTATAATTTATTATATAGTGTAGAAACCCTGTGAATGATATCTGATTTAATTTCATAACGAATGTTTGGAATACAAATTGAGTAGAAAAAAGTGTTTTCTTTATAATTCAGTGTTCATATAAAAGTATTTGTTTCGAAATAATCTTTCGTGTAATTCATTGTTTATATGAAAGTAACTGTTTCAGAAATGCTTTTTCTTCCAGATTCATGTCTGATAGTTACTTCTTTGCATGATCTACACATCTATGTATAGAGTTACTTCTTTTTAAAATTGATTACTTCCTTCCTTTCTTTGGAAGATTCACAGATTTTTCTATATCAAGATGGAGTAGTAGAAAGCCAAAAACTGTCGATTTTTGTTTTGTTCCTTTTTTTTAAATATAAAAAATACCCAGAAGTATCCAAAGAAGTCAACAAATTCAGTTTCTCCCGCGAATGATTTTCATCCAACATTAACAATATCTGTTACTTACTGGCTTCTCTGATATATTTATAAATTCTCTCGTTTTCTTCCTCAAAACGTATTGACAAAAGATTCATGTGAATTTGTCTACAAAACGTGAGAGCTTCGAGATATGTTGCCTGAAACGAGTGATTTTCAATAACTTTTCTAGCAAGTATAAGTATAATTAGTTTTCACTTACGTAGAAGTTTGTACCCATATAATAGCTTTTTTCTCCATAGCGATGGAGAGGTATGACAGATGATTGTTGGTTTTCGAAAATCTTTTCCCAGCCATCATCTGTAACATGACAATCAATGTAAGAATTGAGTGTTTTTCAAATTTTTTATGGAATTTTATATGATTGCACGCAGAGTGTGCCAAATTGGACACTTCCAAAGGAAAACTCCTGTTTTCAAACGAGATAGATGAAAATTAATGGCAATGTCTGAGGGTCAAATTTTATAACAAACTCAATGGTGAAACCTGCATATTGATATCTATCATCGTTTTTGAGTTACAACATGTTTTACGAAAAAGTGCATTTATAAAAAGTTGCTGTAACTTTTATTCTGTCAAAAATTAACTTTTACAAAACGGTTTTTTGTGTAGCATTCAATTTTTTTAAATGAGATATAAATATGTATTGACGAAAAACTGCTTTTTTCGAAAAGATACCCTGTATATTCCTGCAAATTTCCTGCAATTAAAATCACCTTTCCAAAAATGTAGCTCACTTGATGTTTTGCTAGAGTTATTTTCTGCGATAAAAGAGAAAGAAATAGTTCAGTAGTAGCTATCAAACGTTGAGAATGCTTTTCACAGCAGTAATTGAAAGACATAGTTTCAATAAAACTGATAACAATTTATAGAATAATAGTATAGTATAATAATAATGATAAAGAATAAACAATGAAATATATTTTTTAGAGAAGGTATTTGAAATGTCTGCTAGCTTCTCCTACACACAGGCGACACCTTTTCTGAACGTTTTTTTTCGAATTAATTGTTTCAATAGGAGTGAGAGACAAAAATTTGCATCACTGCCGCTTTCAATTCGTATCTAGAATTGGTAGGCAATTTACAAATGAGATTTTCCAACCTTCCCCAGAGGTTACAATCCAAAGGTATCAGGTCCGGTGACTTGGCCGGCTAACAGTTGGATTCTTGGTTACTGAAATTTGCAGCCGAAAAACTTGTGACAAATGCAGTGTTGTGAGATAAAGCTCAGTCTTGTTGAAAATATATTTTTTTGAGCTCCATTAGTGGCAATTCATCAACAAGGGGTTCAATAGTTTGTCTTAAAATGTCTGAATACCTCTGAGATATGAGAGTACCATTATAAATGAACAGGCCGATAACTCTACCCCTGACAACACCTCACCACACACTAAATCCAAATCTTCCTTGACTTCTCTACTCCACAACAGAATGAGGATTATGTTGTGCCCAAGTATAATAATTGTTAATTATTGTAGCGGTTGAAAATGCCGGCACTGCTCACATGAACTTCGTCTGTCCCAATACAATTAAATGAAAAATAACACTTCTGGTTACAACTTGCCAGGACCCAGTTCAAAATCTCCTAGTCTGAGTTGTTGAACGTTAATTTTTTGGAATCATTTTCAACAGCTCCTAAAACGACAATTTCTCCTAACTCCTTATCTCTATTTGATTCATATAATTTTGGTATTTTTTTACAAATTGACCACCATCAATTAGATTTTGTCTCAATGTGAGAAAATGTCTCTAAAAGTTTGTCCTCCCTCTGGATACCTCTCGTGATACAATAATTGAAGAGCGTCTTTACTGCTCAAATCAAAATTTAACAGCTACCAGTAAAGATTTGCATTTTGTTTCATTGCTGCATCGTCCAAAGTCTACTTGATCAAAGTATCCGTTTCAAAGTCTTATGAAAAAAATAGATGATAGATATCGATATGCGGTTTTCACCTTTGACATTGTCATTAAATTTGACCTTCAGACACAGCCATCAGTGTTCATCTATCTAATTTGAAAACAGGAGTTTCCCCACTTTGTACAACAGAAGGCCCTGAAAGCCTGAGAATCGAATTTTCTGATACCAGATACCAAAAGCTGAAGATGAGCAGCTATCTATGAAGCTTCTAAATTCAATTGATATAATTAGTAATTAGATAACGACACTTTCATCTAATTACCACTAGTTAATTTTATTTATATATAATATGAAATTTGAAAACTCGGTTATATCGGGAGTTTTTAGGTGAGATGTAAGGAGAGGTTTTCAAACGAACCAGGGTGACAACTTTAAAATTCAACATTGAAGATTATAGTGGTTGTTAAACTCATAAATTCAAGAGTGGAGACCTACATAAATCGAGTTGCTCGTTTAGGGGTACCTATTTCTGGTTTTTAATTCATTTGGTAATTTCCATGGCTTCCAACATATTTTTTAATATTTTTATTGGAAAAATGTTGATTATTGAAGTGAAAAGTGTCAAAGAAGGAGGAATAAGGTGTAAAGGTGACCTAGTGAATAAATACTTGTGTTTGTAAATAGTTTATTTTGTGAAAAAGAAGGCTGAAAAGTCGCCCTTTTCTCAACTTTGAAGGGCTGTAACTTTGTAAAAAAGGGAGAGCGCCTCTTTTTTTTTCGGATTCGTAATCTACGCATCGAAATAGGTAAGTACACTCAAACATTTTTTCAAAATCGCCGGGTGCCCTCATAACGGAAATTTACCCTAGAAGTTTTTTTACGTGAATGATATAATTATATATTAGTAATATTTCTCGGAGAGTAGTGGTAAAATGAAATGATATAACAATTTGAATTTATTTCTAGGTTACAATGATTATCACTATTTCTGAAGCATGCCGAAAAAAAAAGAACTGAAAGATATGCAAATAGATAGATAGATATTAAAGGTATGGGCCAAGAGCTATACATCAAAGTACCGGACACAAAAACTAAAACCGAAATGTCATTTATTGTTTTTGTCAATTTCTATAATATATTCGTAAAAAATACATGAACCTAAGACCATAAAATGTTGACAGCTACCAAATTTTTTCAATCATCAAAATGGGAAATTCACTCGTTAGGTTGTTGGACTGTTAGGTTGTTGGGTGACCAACCAAACAATAATTGCCAAACTTTTACATTTGTAAAATTCAGAAACATATACTGAACACTGCTTCAGAAGATCACCCAAAACCATCCTAGTTGATGGTGGGGTGATCTAATG